CTCAAACAAAACGGAACTTTCGAAACATATTTGGAAATTAAAAGAAAACAATCAGGATTATACCATCAAATGGTCAATTTTAAAACACGCTATTTCGTACACAGGGGGATCAAAACGCTGTAATTTATGTTTGGAAGAAAAATTTTGCATTTTGAAAGACATAAACAAAGACAATTTACTCAATAAAAGAAGCGAAATTTTCGGCAAATGTCGTCACAAAAACCGGTTTCGAGTAAACAAGGTCGTTAACAAAACCCAATGACCCAAGCATGCATTGTTTCACCTAAGCATTGTTTCGCCTACACGCATTCCGCACATTCTTTCGATAGCATAAAAGCAACTTACAATTTCGAAATTATTCACCACCTGATGATTCCTATACGGATGAAACAGACTGTTGTGGTTTTTTGAGGTAAAACGAAAACTATATATATATATATATATATATATATATATATATATATATATATATATATATATATATATATATATATATATATATATATATATATATATAATAACATATAAAAATACAAATATCTTAGTATACTAACTATAAAGACATGTCTATATATTTTGTAAAAAGGCTTTATAGTAAGATGTATTCGATAATTGAAGTTTGAGACCCGTTGGTCGATCAAGGTTGAGCATATATGATAAAATAAACAACTAACTTTCCTTTAAAAGTATGCTTGAGTATAGTAGATCATAATCTGCCTTCGTAATTAGAAAGCAAACTAGAAATTGTGTTGCCATACCACTGTCTGCGGCGATAAAATATTATTTCCGCATGGACAACTTTGAACGAATAAAACCGACGATCATCTTGGTCACGTTGTTCGCCATGCATTTCTATAGTAATTTGTATCACTCCGCGATCCCCGGAAGTGATTTTCGCATATATAATTTGGCTTCACTTTTCACACCTAGAGAAGCTATATCCAGTCTACTATTAGATCGGTGGTAGAGATATCATGAACTTGTCCAAAGTAGAAAGACGTCGATACATACATGCAGTAAAAGCTATAAGGATGACCCACGTAGCAGCAAACGATATTATGATTTCGGGCATATGAGTAGTAATATAGGGGCCGATCGATCCGGATTTTTGGGGCGGCGCGGGGCGGCGCGGGGTGGCGTGGGGCGGCGCATCATTATATATGCAGGTAATTACCATGCAAGGGGGCGGGGTATGCAGGTAATTAAGAGGGGCCGCACAAATGAGGGTGCGTAGTGACGTCACGCGGACAGGATCAGGTAAGTAATGACGTCACGCGGGCCTGTTCGGGCGAAATTGAACAAAACTTGCTGACCACGCGTTTTTTAGCGTCACTCCTCGTGTATGATACAATGGAGGGATTAATGTTGGCTTACTATGATTGGTTGTTTGATTTAACGAGCGTCTGTATAAAATCGACAAGCGTCTTGTAACAAGCACAGTTTTGCATTAGTTCCACATCAGTCATGGAGTGTCTACACGGAAAAGCTGCTGCCTCTACAACTACAAACAATGGTACATTTTGGTTTTGTGGGGAAAAACCAAGCTGTGAGTTCTTTTGCCCAGACGAAAATTGTTATATGTATACGAGAGCTGTAGCTGCGTTTCGTGCAAGTGGTTCTATACATCCCGTATGTCCTACACATCAGAAATTTGCCAAGTTATGTGTGGTCAAAGACACAATGAAAGATAATTACGGACGACCCTTCTTCGTATGTTCTGAGCGAAGCAATTCCTGCAAGTACTGGCAATGGGGAGACGTGTTCGAAGGTCCAAGACCGTTATGTCAACATGGAATGGTGTGCTGTGAACGAAAAGTCAAGAAAGATGGTCCGAATCAAAACCGTCTGTTTTACTGCTGTCCGAAGGACGACTCTTGTGGTTTCTTCGAATGGAAGCAACAAGGCCCTCGGGTGACCAACACTGGCATCGTGCTCTTCAGTAATCCACTACAATACCAGTACATGATTGAAGAAACAGGAGAGACATTTAATAGTTCTAAATCTAACACTAAGGAGGCCTATGATGAATTTCGTAGATTTGGTTTAACAAGTGAACTTGATAAAATAGACCTCTTATAATAATAATACGTTGCTAGCTAATTAGTGTAAATGTGCATATATTTACTAAAATAAATACTGTGTGTCTCATTTACTGTTCAATCGTTGTGGTGAGAGTATCATGGATAACATAGATATAATTTTTGATGAGTTGAAACGAAATGAAATTGATATTGATAAGCAAACTTTATCGTTTCATATAAATACAATTCTCGACCGCCATCGAGATCTATATCGTGCAGTAAATGTTCGTGATCTAAACCTTGACCAAATCTACAGAGAGATCAAGGTAACAAACTTTGGTTGCATCATTGCCTATTTAGCTTTGGTATGTGTACAAAATGATAGCGAGGAATCTATTCGTCACAATGTACAAAAAACCATCGAGGCATGTCGAATTTTTACTATTCCCAAACATAAACGAAGTAAACGTCCAATTTTAATAACACTCTCACTCACACTGATAGCTTTATATATCAGTCTATAATTACTGGATGTTTCATTTTGTTCAAACCTCGGAAGAGTAAGGATGCCTTGCTGTAAAGGTTTACCACAAATCTCTCTTCGAAACATTTTTCGAAAAGTACGCTGTATTTCTGCTTGCTGTGGTGGAAAAATTGTAATTCAAGCCTCAGACATCGATGGCGGAGAAATATCTAAGCCAGATCTACTACGATCCAGAAAGCCCCGCAAGTTTTGGTGGCGTAGATTCCGTTTATCGCGCCGTGAAAAACGAAGGGAAATATGAGATATCGCGGAATAAAATACGCCAATGGTTACAAAAGCAAGATGCCTATTCATTGCATAAACCTGTGAGATATCGCTTCAGGCGTAACCGTGTTATAGTTGGAGCCATGGATGATGAGGGGGAGGCAGACTTAGTCATTATGGATTCATTAAGTCAACAGAATAATGGGTACAAGTACGTTTTAACTGTTATTGATGTACTCAGCAAATATGCGTGGGTTGAAGCGATAAAAGCGAAAACTGGGAACAATCTTGTCAAAGCCTTTGAGAAAATAATCAAGAAAGGCCGTAAACCGAAAATGTTTCACACTGATAAGGGGACGGAGTTTATCAATAGCCAGTTTCAAACCTTTTTGAAGAAACATGGCATTCGATTTTTTACGACGTACAACGAAACCAAGGCATCGATTGTTGAAAGGTTTAATCGTACGCTCAAGACGAAAATGTGGAAATACTTTACAGCGAACAATACGCTCAAGTACGTTGACATTCTCCAGAAACTGGTCAAATCTTATAATCATTCTCGACATTGTAGTATTGGTATGAGACCGGTAGATGTGAATAAAAGTAACGAGAATATTGTGTGGCAAACACTCTACGGGAAGGAGTCGAAAAAATCAATCCAGTTTAAGTTTAACATTGGGGACCAAGTCCGGATTAGCAAAGCAAAGCGAACATTTAAGAAAGGATACTTGCCCAATTGGACTGAAGAAGTGTTCACGGTAACGAAACGCGTGCCTCGACGACCGCCTGTTTACAAGATTGGAGATTATGACGGTGAAGAACTGGAAGGAACATTTTACGAGCAGGAACTTCAGAAAGTCAACAAATCAGACAGTGACTATTATAGAGTAGAAAAAGTAATAAGATCACGCATGCGTAATAAACGTAAAGAGTATTATGTAAAATGGTTGGGTTATCCTGACAAGTTTAATTCTTGGGTACCAGCAGAGAGTGTAAAAGATCTGAAATAAATATATTTGAAACTCATAACTTGTATTCATTTGTGTGTTGGTCTTCAATATGGCAACACAGTTTTATCTCACGTTACCGAGTAATAGTTCTATGGCTTATTTTCAAAATAATACAGTGGCAAATTTTCGAGTGAAATTGACCGAAACCATTGTCTTGCCAGGCCAATGGGAAGTGGCATTGACGGAACTGCATTACCCACATACGTGGAGCACGCTAAAACGTGGAGTGCAACAAACGTTTTTGTATAAAATTGGCAGTACCCTTATCAAACTGTCGTGCTTAAAGAAACACAATATTCTTCTATTGAGCAACTAACAAAAGCACTCAATGCCGGCATGTCAAAAGAAACACAAACGAAAGTGAAGTTTAGTTATAATCGTAGTTCTCGCAAAGTTTTGGTTGATGTAAAACACGACACAACTGTGTGGTTTACCGGAGAATTAGCAACGGTCTTGGGATTTGCCCAGGACACACTTATTGAAAAGAAAACGTCGAGTCCCTATCCTGCAGATATCAATGGTGGATTTTCCTCCATGTATGTCTATACTGATATCGTTGATGCACAGTTTGTGGGCGATGTGAAAGTACCTTTACTACGAATCGTTAATATCGAAGCGGAAAATGGAAACACCGTTCACGCCAGTTTTCGTAATTTGCAATACGTACCTGTCAAAGTAAATTCTTTTGAGACCGTTGAAGTAAATATAAAGAATGACCAAAACGAAAACGTCTCATTTGAGTTCGGGAAGTCAATCGCAACACTTCACTTTAGACAGAAGAGATCTCAGTACTTTATCTAAAAAATGCGCGGAAGACTAGTTGTGGATGCTAAACTATTGAAAGACCATTTCTTGAGACAGCAACGTGGTGGGAATATCGCTGGGTTTCGTGGTGCACGTATGCAAAGGGGATATGGGATCGGAAGTATTTTCAAAAGCCTTGCGAGATATGCTATCCCTCTGTTCAAGCAAGGCGCTAAAGTTGTTGGCAAAAGAGCATTGCAAGCAGCCACAGAAGTCGGTCAAGATGTACTCCAAGGAAAAATGTAAAAGAAGCTTTTAAATCACGAGGAAAACAAGCAGTATCTGATGTTGCCAAGAAAGTAATGACCGGAAATGGTCGCAAAAAGGGTATAAAAAGAGCAGCGCCAGCTAAAACTCCCATTCGCGGTCCAACCAAGAAGCAGAAAACATCTCTCGACAACTATAGTCCAAAGTGGCATGGCTCTTGAAACAATGCATAAAGATTCCTGTATGTGCTCAAAATCTGAACTCGATTTATTTTCTATTCCACCGACTCAAGTGGTAATGGAAAAGGGATTTTGGGAAGCTGTTGATCCTATTACGAGCATATCTTCTTCAGATACGATAGAATTTTTATGTGCTGCAAATTCTGGTGTTTATACCGACTTAGCAAGCAGTTACCTATACGTTAAAGCAAAGATCACTACTGCGGCCGGAGGAAATGTGGGTGCAGACATTCAAGTTGGACCTCCAAACCTTTGGATGCATGCATTATTCTCACAAGTTGAAGTATTTCTGAACAACAAACTGGTCACCCCCATCAAGCACAGCATACCCTTAGCGAGCGTATATCGAAACGATCCTGAACTTTAGTAAAGACGCCAAAGATTCACATTTGACCTCAGCACTGTTCTATAAAGATAAAGCTGGAAAGATGGATGCAGTAAACCCGCTCGCACAAGATGCCAACGTCAACACGGGCTTAAAACAACGCCATGCATATACACGTGAAAGCAAATCTGTCGCCATGGAAGGAAGACTTCATTCTGATCTATTCGCGCAAGACCGTTATATTCTTGGTGCTGTTCCAATCAAGATCAAGCTGGTGAGATCTAGAGATCCGTTTTGTTTGGTATCATCCGCAGAAGATCCCAATTTCAAAGTGGTCATCGAGGAATGTTTGTTTCGTGTACGACGAGTTAACGTAGCCCCTAGTATTATACTGGCTCATTCCCAGTCCCTTCAACAAATCACTGCCAAATACCCAATCAACAGGATCGACTGCAAGGTTGTCTCCGTACCTCGGGGGAATATGTCTGGAAACCAACCTAATATATTTCAAGGTGGTTTACCAAATCGTATCGTGATTGGAATGGTCGACGCGGATGCCTTTAACGGTACATATACGAAGAACCCGTTCAATTTTAAAAATTACGATATCACAACCATGGGTCTCACTGTCAACGGAGAGAACTTACCTGGAAAACCACTACAGTTGAAATTTGGAGTGGACAGTAATTACATTTCTGCTTTTCAAACCCTGTACGCCGGCGCACACAAGATTTTTGATAATCAGGGTAATAGTATAACGCGTGAAGAATATGCAAACGGTTATACACTGTTTGTGTTTGATCTCACTCCTGACTTATGCCTTGGTGATCATGTACAACCGATTAAGAACGGAAATGTGTCAATTGAATGTCGATTTGGAACACCGTTGGAGACAGCTATAAATATCGTGGTACTTGGTGAATTTCAAAGTCTTATCGAAATTGATGCGAACCGAAACGTGCTGTGTGATTTCAACAACTGAAGATGAATTCGCTGCAGATTATGAACATTCTCAAGAATGACCCATTTACAAAAACGGTGTTTACGGACGTTTTACCGTCAGATCGTTTACCTCGCGAAATAAGAAAGAGGCCTAGAGGGTATATATTTAACACGGACGCATCGGATATGCCCGGATCCCATTGGATTGCAATGTACCTTACAGAAGATGGTAAAGGGGAATTTTGGGATTCGTATGATCAGGCTCCTGGATTTTACAATCAGAACTTTACTCAATTTTTGGACAAGCATTGCGCTACGTTTACATGGAACAGAAGAATTTTGCAAGCCCCTTCATCAGACGTGTGTGGACAATATACATTATTCTTTGCTTTACATCGATGTAGACGTATTCCAATGTCAACCATTGCAAATATGTTTACGGATAGCAAAGAATGGAATGATGAGCTTGTGCGTGATTTTATAGACAAGTGGTACAAACACTAGATTTAGTTTTAAATACATTTATTGTAAAATTTTCTCTTACAAGAAATAAATTATTTTAACCATTTATAAGGACTACTAATATTGTCTCTGCGTTTTTTCCTCTTTTCTTGCTGCACTCGAGGGGTGGTGGGACGATTTTCCGGGATACCTTTGGTTTTATATTCGCGAACAATTCCAAGACGGTTTTCGTTTCTCACAACACTTTCGGGTACATTCAAATGTCCGAGAACTTTTGAAAACAATTCCCAACCGTCGGGGTTGAAATTCTTATTTTGACGTAGAGAATCATTCACCAAATCAACTATATTTGTGCTAAGAACCGATCTTCCTTTGAACACCATCTGGCCTTGTTCATTCCAACCAACAAGATCTTTATTTGACTTGAGTTTTTTGATGAGTTGTCGAGCTCTTGACTTCATAGTAGCTGGTACACTGTCCATGATATCTGTTTCAATCTCGTCTGAAGGTTCAGTCTCTTCACTCGGCTGTTCTCCTTGAGGTTCTCCTTGAGCTTCTTCAGGTTTATCCGTGTGCGTCACGTTTACTCGGAGAGGTTATTCATTCGTTTATCAGAAAAGGTTAAATAGCGTTGTAGATTCTGGTCGTATAACTTTGCCTTTTCATCAATTGGTATATCTTGTCGTCGAATAATATCTTGCATGTCCGAGTCTATTTCGTTGACCTGTGTCGCCAAAAGCGCCGCGAGTGGTTTCTTTCGCTGTTCAGCCATATGTTCAGGGACAAGCACTAATCGCTTGACGTGTTCCATTATAAAAAGTTAGACAACTGTTCCAAAACTGAAGTGAGTAGAAATGGTAGGAAACCCTCCCCTTTTTGGACTAGACGGGTTCTTCTTTTTACGATAGGATTTCGTTTGTCAGCCGCAAACTTTATATGCTTGGAATGTGGTGCAAGTTTTTTAGCTGTTTTCGGTTTCAGTTTAATCGTGTCAAACCAAACGTTTAATAGACACTGTCTTATAGCTTCAAACAGGTCGTCTTCAGCCGCTTTCAAAATAGCTTTTCTCAGTTCAGGTTTACACTTGGCCAATACTTTCAGAAGTTCGGAGTTCCTCTTCATACAAGCAGACATGATCAAATGACCATTTTACACACGTTCCCACTTTCTTATACTCTGGGTTGATAGACGTAATGCGTATCTGTTGGAAAGATCCCGGATCGAATCCGTATCTCGTCGGGACACGTAGGAGTTAGGTCGAAAAATAGATACGAATAGGGCTCTTTGGTTGCCAGTTGATAGGCTTGTTGAAAAAATTTGGTGTTACTGGGATACAGTTGTTTAGCGAGATGAATAATTTGACTTGCGTCTCGCACGTTTTTCGTTAAACATAAATAACTTGCATTGAGAGAAATTGTACGGTGTTATTTGCTATGATGAAATAAATTGTGTACAATGTAGATCACACTCAGGTTACCATGATGTGATTTTTTCGTGAATAATTTTGAAATAACTCCGTCTTTCTCACCCATGAAATCATCAATGACGTATAAATTGCGTGTTTCGGGATTAATACTATCCAGTATATCATCAGGTAAACCTT